TTAGTAAAGTGCTTAGTTTCTTTAAGTTAGTTTATAATATTCTAGATAATTAGTAAAGAGTACTAATTCTTTATAGTGTTGTTATTTAAAGTTTAGTAATCTTAATATACTCTTACTTTACTATTTTTCTTTTTTGCAAAGACTACTGCTAATGCTACTAGACTGTTGCTTTCTCTAATGTGTCCTTAAGCTAACATTCTATCTATGTACTTCTACAGAGCATCTTTTTAAGCCTTTGTTAATAGTTATAGTTTATAAGTTTTTAACTATAGGTTTAGCTTAAGATTAATAGTGTAGTCCTAGAGTTAGTGCAGCAGCAGTTCTCTAGGGTCTTCTAGAGTCTTAAACATGTCTTTATAGTTTTAGTATTCTTCTAGTAGTCTAGTTACTTCTTAAGCTATTTAATAGATTTTAACTTAATTAAGGTCTTTTTTTTAAATTTTTTAAAGAAGATCTTTTCTAGTTTTTCTTTTATTAGGTAGACAGCCTAGGCTTTTAGTTTTTAATAGAGGAACCTTTTTAGCTTTTTTTGTTAATAAGTCCTGTTAGAGTCTTTATAAGATGTAGATTATGCTGCTTTTACGCAGTCTTAGTTAGTTAGGGACATAGTTTGCTAGTTAATTATTAGGTTATGCTTATAAAGCTAGTTATAGCTTAGTATTACTTAGTATTTGCCTTCTAGTAGCAGTATGTTAAAAAATATCTAGTTGTTAGTTTCTTTAGCTTTAGTAATAAGTTTTTCTGTTTTAAGTTAGATTTATCCTACCCTATATTTTATTAATAAAGCGTTAGCTAAGGATACTCTAAAGAGGTTCTTTTTTCTTTAGAAAAGTATGTTGTTTTAATTAACCTATCTAGAGTTAATTACTATAAACGTGCATTTACTATCTATTAAGGCAAGTCCTATCTATTTATTGCCTAGGTGTTAGAGAGTAATTTTAGTTATTAGGCTTTAGCCTAGTTCTTGTCTAACTATAATAAAGATATAAAGTTTATAGAGTGTTTTTTATAGTTTATTTTATTATCTTTATTAATAGCCTTAGCTGTGTCTTTATATTCTGTAATTTAGTCTAGTTGTACTTTGTATTCCTAGTGTCTTAGTATTATGTATTTTATTATAGTGCACTAAGCATTTTTTATCTTATAGTAATATAGCATTTAGTTGTTTTACTAGTGTGCCCTTTATTAAAAGTAATAGAATATACATGCTGCCTTATTATTGTATTTTGTCTATAGTTTTTATTTGTAATCTATACTGTTCTTATAATAATAGCAGTGTAGCATTTTGCAGGTAGATGCTATGCTAGCTAGTGTATTAGTTTTAGATGCGCTCTCTTGTGTTCTGTGTGGCCACTAGCTAGCCTAGTGCTTAGTTAGCTAGTGTTTAATGCAGTACTTGTTACTACACAGGTACTAGGTATAGGGACATTCTCTAAGATTATTCTGTACTAGTATTAGCTAGACCTATGTCTACCTTAGGTACTCCTTAGTTCTTATTATTTATAATAGATAGCTTTAGTAAGTGTAGTAAAACTTATTATGTTACTTACTTTTATAAAGAATATAGTATTTTTTATTTTATTAAATTTTAAGGTCTTTGCAGGTGACAGCTAATGCAAGGGGAGGTGTGTTAGTTTGTTCTTAGCATAGGTTAGGTGTTAGTAATAGTGTACACTGCTAGTTAAGGCCTTTTCTTTTATTAAAAACTTTTTAAAACATTTTCTACTACTCTTTTATGTTTATAACTGTGTAGTGTGTTTTAGTAATTTCTTTTAGTATACTATAAGTTTTAACATTATTATTAATGTGTACTTTGTACAGTCGCCTACCAAAAGTCATTAGCCACCTAGCAATCCGAGCTCTGCAGGGGTATAGTCAACCTATTAGGGAAGGAGGTTACTTAGTTAATTGTTAACTAAATTTAAAGATTTTTATTTCTATACAAAGCTTATATACAGGCCTGTCTTTTAGTGCTGTGCTTAGTTAATAGTGAGTTAATCTGCCTTTGTTTTAGACAACTTCCTTTATGCGCTTTAACTAACTAAGGATACACTTCCTATAATTAGCTAGTGTAATTTTTGCCTACTTCTTTTTAAGGATATCTACTATCTGCTTGCAAGTAGTAATATATTCTTGTTGCTTTAAGATGCGGAGCTTTATAATCTGCTAGAGGTTTTTAATTAGGTTTAAATTAGGACTTTGTGGAGGCTAATCTATCTGTATCATGCTATAGTCATCCATATACTTTTAGGTAGCCTTTGCAGTGTGAATAGGTGCTCCATCCTGCATCCATATGCTAATACCGCGTTCCTCTGTAAGCTGCTAATAAAATAGGATACTAACATTGTGTAGAATCTAGCAGTATTTGCTAGCATTATTGCGCTTGCTTTTCTTGTTAATAAACAGCTCTAATTTAAAATTAAGAAAGATTACACTAAATACAGAGACTATAGTCCTTCTAGACTTAAAGGTAGGCTTTAGGTACTAACTCTTATATGCTTTTCTATGCTGCTGATGTACATATGGAGGTGTAGTGTCTAATCTAACTTTAAATGTTGCTTTATTATAAAAGGCTACGCAAGCTATGTCTTTTGCTTTGTTATATTAATAGGTTTAAGCAAATTAGAGTTGCTTTTCTTTGTGTACAGCTAACAACTAAGGCTTGCGACATAGGCAGAAGGCGTAGTACTTATGTTTTGCAAGGTATCTCCTTGCAGTACTAGTATAAATGCAGCAGTAGGTCTTTGACAGGGTTGCGATAGTTTAGAGCGTAGCAAAGGGATTATTTGCTGCCTAGCAAATTAAATGCCTCTTAGCGCGTTTGTTAAGCTTTAGAGGTTGGCCTGTACGCAGAGCTTTTGTATAGGTAGGCAGGGGCTGCTTGCGCAGCCGGCGGATGTTGTATGTAACCGTCAACTTAGGAATGCTGAGATGACGTGAGATTTTGCCAGCGCTCACGCTGTAGAGGTGGAATTGCTATATTGTATTAACAGATAATTTAGATAGCTCTTTGCAAGAGGTTTTATTTGCTTTTGTAACTATTAAAAAAGGTGGTAATTTAATTAAGTTACATTTAATTAAAATCTAACCATTGTGGGGTGGCCTGGACCTCTCGCTAAAGTGGCCAATGACTTTTGGTAGGCGACTGTACATTAACTTCTAACAGTCCTTTGCCTTATAGGTACTGCTGCACTTCTAGCAGTTACTGTAAGTAAATTAGTATCTTAGCTTTTAAGTAGAGATTTTTATTATTAGTTATTCTAAAAGAAACTTTTCTTTCTTTTTTTTAACATTTATAATGTATGTTGTAGCTTAGGTGTAGCCTTACTATTCTTTATAAGTAGCAGCTTACTCTAGTGCCCTAAAGACTTTATTATTATTTTATACTTTAACTTCCTAGTATTCTGTAGGGCATTCTTTAGATTTATAGTTATTTCTACATTACTAGCAGAGATGTTTGTCTAGTCTATTTAGAATTTCTTGTTCTGTTAGACCCTGTTCTATATATATTACTTTTATAGTTAGTCCTTTTTTTTATTTTTCTAGTTACTAGAGTTTAGGCACTTTTGCCTGTAGTGTCCTACTTTTTTATAGTTAAGGCACGCTTTTTTTTTAAGCTATTTCTGCTGTTTTTTAGTTAGTAGTAGCTTTTTACTTTAGTAGTACTTACTCTTTTTCTTAGGTAAGCCTTATGTATGTTTAGCATAACTAAAGTTTATAGGTTTACTATTAAACCTCTAGCTTTCCTTCTTTTTCTAAAACACGTTAGGTTTCTAGAATGTTATGCTAGGGCGTTTTTTTTAAAACATTCTTAATACCTTTTATTATATGTTATTGCTCTTTTAACATATTCCTTAAATGCATCTAGCTTGCTGCTGTGTATAAATTTATCTTTAACTTTATTAAATAGTCTTTTATAGAACATCTTTTTAATAGCTAATTAGTCTGTCTATCTACTAATAGCTAGTTGTTTGCAGAAACAGGCTGCGTATAATTAAACTGTGCTTTTTTCTTGTTATAAAGTGTCTATTTAATTAACTGCCTTTTCCTTCTAATTTAGTTGCTTATAGATAGTAGTAAAGGCTTACTTAAAAAAGTTAAGGTTTTAAAAGATTATTTATGTTTTAATAAAAAGTATCTTTTTTATAGTCTTATGCTTTATCTAATTATTAGTATATAGTTAGAACTATATAGCTAGAGATTCTTTAAAATGTAGTCTTATTTAAGAAATTATTTCCTTAGAGGTTTAAAAGGCGCCTTTATTATATTACATGTATAAATAGTATTAGGTAAAGAATAGCTTAAGGTCTTTTACAGTCTTATTAAAAAGTTTTAGTAGAGCTAGGCGTAGAGACTTTTTTAACTTAGTGCTTACTTTTTTTTTTGCTATGTTCTAGAGTTTAGCCACCTTTATGTAGAGTGCGTGTAGCTGTTGTGTTTAAGGTAATTAGGCATACTGTTAGAGTTAAGCCTTAAGTGTAGTAAGTTTATGTTGCAGATGTTGTATTTACTAGTTTTACTCTTCTTTGTTTCTAGACAGGACTTTGCTAGTGCTAGCAGCACTAGCTCCCGTTATACTAGTATTAAAGGAGGTTGTGTGAGGAGCTATACTTTATAGGGGTAGTAATTACTGTTATAATCCTTACTTCTGCAAAATAGTATTTTTAGAAGTACGTTAGCCTATAGTAGTGTTTAGCAGAAGGGGAAGGACTTAGCTAGATTAGGTGTACAGTCTATTAAGCAGAGTGTAGAACGTAGAGAGAGTAGAGTAGGCAGGCTTGTAGTTTAACCTAGCAGCTGTATAGTGAGCTAGTAAACCTGATCTGTAGGGATAGAAGTGGAGGTATATATAGTGCAAGATATATAAGTTAGTAAGGTCCTTTTTATAAAAGTTTTAATGCTTCTTGTTTATTAACTAGTTAAGAGTAGATAATAAACTAACTAGTAATTACAACTTTCTAACTATAGTTGTAAATAAAATTATATACATAGGGTTTTGCATGCGTTTGCATGCGCTGGAGGTGCTGCATGCATTGCATGCATTGCCTGCAACAGCCTGCAATGCCTGCACTGCCTGCAATGCTTAGGCCCTTATTGGACAGTGCACTCCGCCAGGCTTTTGTCTAAAAGCCGGAGCCATTCCTCATCCGTCCTGTCACGTGATTCGCTCAGCGCGGGGCTAAGCGTCTTCCATCCGACGTCGTTCGGGCTGTGTGGGACAGCCAGTTGGGTCATTACGGTCTGACTGTTGGCTGTAACAAGTATAAGCTGTATCTAACATTCTTTTAGCGCGTCTAAGTAGTGTTGTAGGGAATGCATTAGTGTAGAAAGGGTAGTTTAGTAGGGTCTTAGCAAAAGTAAGCAACTTAGGTGTGTGAGCAACTCGCCTGTGAAGTACGTTAAAGTAAAGGTTAAAAATCTAACTTTTATGCTTTATTAAGTTATACACTAGTTATAACTTTAAAAGTAATATTAGTAATTAAAGTGTTTATTTTTATATAGTCTAATTTTTTAAATAGTTTTCTTAGTATAGTAATTACACTATTTATATAAAGCTTAATAAATAAGGCTTAATTATCTTTTTTTTAAGTTAGAAATACTTAGTCTAGACTTTATACAGGTTTTTTTTACTTTTTACTTCTTCTAGTATTTATATCTTCCTTTTACACTAGTGTAGTATTACTATCCTAAAGAGCTTAGTTTATAGTAGGCTTTAGTTCTACCTTTATAATATTTTTATAAAGTTGTCTTTTTCTTCTTTTTTATAAAGGATTTTTTTTATATAGGGATTAGTTTATTTATGTCTAAATAGCAGTATTTAGATACGCGGTTAGGCGTCATGTGACATAGTCTTGTGTCACAGTTGTACGCACAGACAGATAAATACCCTTTCCTTTGCACAGACTTAGAAAAAACAAGAATTAACACCAGTTACCTGCAACCCCCTCTTCCTCCCCCCCCCCCCTGCATAATGTGTACACTGTGTAAACCTCTTTGCTTTGCATAGCTAGCATAGAGTCTATTTAACAATTTAGGTTATTTATTATAAGTAAGTTATTTTTTTTTCTTTATAATATAGTTTAACCTGTGTATATTAAACCTTTAGTAGGCTATTTTTTTTAATAATAATGTTTTTTTTAATGCTTTTAGTTTTATATAAGCTAGTCTAGCCTTTTTTCTCTCTCTATGCTATAATTTTTAAGCTAAGAGGAAAGTTAAAAACTTTATACATTATAAGGCTAACTATAAACTTTTATTAAAGTTTTTTTATTAGTATTATATAAAAGTTATTGTTATTTAGTCTGTCTAGTACTAGCTATAGTTTATATTAGTGTTAAAGTAACTACTTAAAGTGTTATATAAATGCTTCTAGTTATATCTAAGGCCTATATTATGTATATAGTACATATTTACCTAACTTTTTAGAATATCTAAAAAGATGTCTATATACTAAGTTTTCTAAATATCTAACTATTAATATAAATTAATAAAAATTCTTATTTTATTTATAAAAATGTTATATAGTTAACTTATATAGTTATTATTTTTTTTATACTTTTTAAAATTATATAATTTTATTTACTAAGAGTTTTTCTTTAGTGGTTTTTTTCTAAAGT